TATATATATATATATATATATATATATATACTATATATATATATATATATATATATATATATATATATATATATATATATATATATATATATATATATATATATATATATATATATATATATATGTATATATATATATATATATATATATATATATATATATATATATATATATATATATATATATATATATATATATATATATATATATATATATATATATATATATTTTTTTTCTTTTCTTAAATATTTTAGTAAATCGTTGTACAATAAAATCGTTAACATTTAAATAACAAAATCATACAACAAGAACTAAGTAAAAGATAATATAGTTTTACAGGTATTTAATTTTATAAAAAGAACGCGGAGACTCTCAGAAGACCGTCAGGTCTTGTCATCGAGAACCGCTCGTATTTTACAATCTCAATAAATGATATTCAAATATAGTTGTATATCACTATAAAAACTTTACATCGTAAATACATCAAATATTACATGAAATTATTAAACGTTTAATAATATAAAAATATGTTATCCAGAGGCAAAATAATTTCTTAAAGTTTATTTTTAAATGAGAGGTAACTCCATTCCAGAGAAAAATCAAAATGTTTTAAAACTATTTTATTCCAAAGAGAAGCTCCGCGTAAAGCAATGTTTGTTTTTCCAAAATTAGTTTGATAAAAAGATTACCGAACTAAATTGTCATTTCTCATATTGTATTTATTTTTATCTTTCAAGGTATATAAATTATGGAAAGAAACTGGGGAGGATTTTATTTTACATTTGTACATAAAACAAAGAGTATTAAAAACATTGAGCCAAAATATATTAAAAATATCCATTTCAGATAAAAGAGGCCTGGCATGAGTTAATCTGTCTTTAAAGTTGATAAGACGAGCAACATGCTTCTGCTGATGATAAAGAGGTTTTAGTTTACTTTTGGCATTACACCTAGTAATATTTGCATAGTATGACAATGGATAAAAGAAAAATATAATTGTGTTAAACTTTGTTTATTTAAGGCATTTCTAGTCTTATATATTACTCCTATACTTTTAGCAATTTTGTTGTACAAAAAATTAGTGTGGTATTTCCAGCTAAGGTTTTCATCAACACGGATACCTAAAAAGTTAGTATTTATCTCTCGTTTTATTTGAACTTTGTCTATAAAAAGTAAGGACAAGTTAGGAGGCAGTAGTTTCTTTTTAGAAGTCGGATGAAAGAGTGACCATTTGAATTATCCAAATTTAGTGACAATTTATTCATTTTGAACCATTCACAAATTTTCTCTAATTCGATGTTCATAGTTTGAAATAATGTTAGAATACATTTATGTGATAAAAAAAGATTAGTGTCATCAGCAAACATGACAGTCATTAAATTTGACGTTTTAGAGAGATCATTGATGTAGATTAAGAAAAGAAGAGGTCCGAGTATAGAGCCCTGGGAAACTCCACAGGTTATATTTAATTAATTAGATGTACCATTTTCATTACTATAAACAAACTGTTTACGGTTGTTTAAATAATTTTTAAGTATCATTAAAACATTCCCTCTAATTCCATAGTATTCTATTTTTTTAAGGAGAATTCGATAATCAATAGTGTCAAACGCTTATGATAAATATATAAAAATTCCCAAAGTACATTAGGACTTTTTAAAAGATTCAGCTATACTGCGAGTAATTTGGAGTATTGCGTGTTCTGTCGAGTTATTTTTTTTGAACCCGAATTGATTGATATATAGTATATTATTTAAGGAAAGATGATTATAAATAACGTTATATAAAATTCTTTCTAAAACTTTAGAAAAAACAGAAAGAACAGAAATTGGGCGATAATTTATAACATTGGTTGGATCTTTAAAACCGGAGTGACTTTAGCTATTTTTAAATGATCTGGAAATATTCCCTGCTTTATAGAAGAATGAAAAACTTTAAATAGTACATCTTTTAAGGGTTCATACGAGTCGATGACAACATTACTATTAATTCCATCGTGACCAACGGATTTATCTATTTTAAGCATTTTGAATTCTTCAAAGGAAAGTTCGTAAGATGTTATTATGATATCGGAAAATCATTGAATGATATATAGTTTATTATTAAAGGAAAGATGATTGTAAATAACGTTATATAAAATTCTTATTAAAACTTTAGAAAAAACAGAAAATTAACAAAATAGATGCTTATCTATTTTGTTAATCACAAAAGGAATATTTTTGGCTAAATTTGGACCGACTTATACAAAATATTTGTTTAATTCATCACATATCACAGTTGGATTAGAGGAAAAATCATCGTTAATTTTTAATGTTTTGGGTAGAGAGCACATTTTTTTAATCCGCGTGCCAGTAAGTTCTCTAAAGATCTCCCAGCTGCGTTTTGAGTTATTTTTGTTTATCTCAAGTAAATTAGAGTAGTATTTTTTACAATTTATAATTTTTTTAAATTTTTTCCTTTTTTTTTTTTTAATTTTTTGGCATAACTTTTGTAAAGAATTTTAGTTTTCTCTGTTTTGGTTTATAATTTTTGCTTAATTTTAGAGGATTTTTTGAGATCTTTTGTAATCCATAGAGAAATTATAGCTTTAGGTTTTTTATTTACAATAGATTTTGGAAAATTAACGTCATATAATTCATAAAAAGTTTTAAAAAATGATTCATAAACTAGATTAGCATCAGAAGAGGCTTCTACTTGTTTCCAATGAAACAGAGATAATTGTTTTTTGAATGCTTTAAAATTCACTGTAGTAAAAAAACGTTTTTTAAATGTTACTTTTTGTGGAGATATTTTGACTGCAACAATATTAATTGAGAAAAAAATAGGAAAGTGGTCAGAGATATCACTTTTAATTATCCCTTTTTTGAGCGATTTATTAAAAATATCGGTTGTTATTATATTATCTAATGAGGTAGCCGATGTTGCAGTTATTCTTGTTGGTTTATTAATAATAGAAAATGCGTCATGTTCAAATACATCGTTAAAATTTTTATTTATTTTATAATTAGTATGGTATTGAAAACAGTCCAAATTAATATCACCTATTAAGTAATATAATTTCTTTTCATTAATGCTTTTACTTAAAATATCATTTAAAAATGTTTTAAAGTTTTTAATCTGACCAGAGGGTGGTCGATAGCAGCAACTTACAACTAAATTATTTTTTTTCAAAGGTTTCAATTTCAACTGTTAAAACCTCTTTATTGTCGTCAGAATAACTTATATCATGCCTGATAATATACCTCAAGCATTCTTTTATATAGATTACTTAACCACCGCCTCGCTTTTTGTTTTGACGTTATAAAAAAATTTTTTTAAAACCTGGTAAACAGGTGCTTGTATTAGAATTTGCGTTATCTGTGCTGCACCAAGTTTCTGACATACAAATTAAACTAAAAGTACTATGAGATTCTTTCATATTTATGCAAAAATTTTCCAAATTTTTTGATAAGTTTCTTATGTTGATATGTAAAGTGTTAAAGTTATTAGAATTAATAAGTTCTTTTATTTCATTGGAATAATAATAAAGGCAGCTGCTTCGAACAGCAATTGCTTCCATAAAGTAATTTAAATCCGGATCCGATTCATGGTTTTGTAAAACGTCATCAGTTTGAAAAAAATTAAATGATTTTAAATCAAAATTATTGTTGTTATTCGAATCCATTTTAATTTTTTTTATTATTAGACTTAATTAAATAAAAGAAGTTCTTTTAGAAATCACGCGTTATTAGTTTGTTATAAATAACTTTAGCAAGACGAATTGTTATAAATAACTTTATGAAAGACGAATTTAGATTATATGCGTATACCAAATTTAACTGAAAGACGAAATTAAGCCGTATATGTAGTCCGAATTCAACTGAAAAACAAATTCGGACTTCTGAACCGAATTTAACTGAAAGCCGAATTTAAATTTTAAAAACACATTTAATTAAAAAAGAAATATTTAAAGAACTTTTATAAGTTTTATCATTTTTTTTTTTTTTTGGTTTTAAATGTTCTAAAAAGATCCAACGGTTTTGCCACGGAGTACATCAGAAAAGTATTAAATTAGAAAGTTCAAACCTTTTTTCTTACCGATGGTGCGAAATATGCCTAGAGCTTGCTTCGAACCTTAGGTTTATTGCTTCTAAAGCAAACGCTCTAACCACTGCGCAGCGGCTGCTGTATAATCATTTTTTATAAGGGACCATCCATACGTACGCAGGTATGAGGAGAGGGGGAGTTTCCCAAAAGTGTACGAACGCGTACAAGAGGAAGGGGGTGTTTAAGACAGTGAGTAAGTACGCGGTTTGACTATTTAATTTTAATTTTTTTTAAACATTGAATTTCACATGTGTAACAAATCAGAATTAGGATTGTTTTTCTGACTTCAGTCATAATTTTTTTTTAAATTTCTTTATAAATTTCTTTATAGAGGAGAGAAAAAAGAAATCAAGATAATTTTGAAAAAAAATGAGTATGTACGCGGAGGGGAGGGGGTCTTTAAAAGCGTACAGGTTCGTACAAGGGGGAAGGGGAGTTTCAAATCAGTTTTTTTACTGCGTTCGTCATTATGGATGTCCTCTTATGGAGTCTTTATAACTTTTAATATTTTTGAAAGAACATGGACGGTTTTCTATTTATTTATTTTTACCCAATTCATGTTCCCAAGGTTGAGTGGGCAACTTTAGTCGAGGAAGCTACTTCTTATATTGGTTACAACCCTCTCTCGACTCTGAAAGAGGGTTGTAACCAATCGAAACAGGTGATATACATAAAACATATAATATATTTTATAATTCTACATTAAATTGAAAAAAACTTTATAGCTTTCGAATTTAACTGAAAGTTAAATGAAAATTTGAAATCGTAACCGAATTTAACTGAAAGCAGAATTTCTATTTCAACTTCGGCACCGAAGTCGAAGCCGAAGTCAACTTCGCCTTTTGTAATCCGAATTTTAACGAATATTCGTCGGTCCTTATATTATTTTCTTTAGCAGGTTTTACGAGGACGTAACGTGCACTATATTTATAATTAAATGATTGGTCAACATCGGTAGCGCGAATAAATTAAAGTGAACTTTTTTAATTTTTATCTTTAACGGAAAACTGCATAATATTTTGATTAAATTCTTATACCATTATTTTGATTTTGGATTCTCTAGATATGAATTCTAGAAGAGCAGGAAATACAACTCGAAGGGTAAAAAATGATGAAAGTTCTCTTAAAAATCCAGTTTACAGTGCAAAATCTAATAACTCTGTTAGATCACGGTAGGTTATAGACAGTTATAGACAAGTAATTAGTATATACTTTTTTTTAAAAACTAGATGTGTAATCTATTATCATTTAACTATATTTTCTAAATAAATTTTATAAAGTTTAAATATAATTTTATATTTAAACTTTAATTCATGAAAACTAATTCATGAACTAACACTTTGCTTTAAATTTTAAAAGTTACACAACCGCCTTACTGTCGCTCGAATCGATTGACACATACATCATAACTACTTACACCATACTAACATAAATAGATAGACTATTGATATATGCACATTATGAGCCAATCCCTAATAGTCATTAGTCCATAAATTGACTGAACATCAAGAATAGGCGCAATATAATACTTTAAAAAATATGAACATTTTTTACCAATCAGAATTAGGTTAAACAAAAAAGTTTTTTTTTGCAATAAACTTCTATATTATCTTAAAATATCGTTTGATAAAAATCCAGTCATGACCATGACTTTAAGGTGCATGTTTTAAAAAACAAAATTGGAAATTTCCCATGCCCATATTTTTAAATTCTTATTCACTCCCAACGATGCTGCAATCAACCACTATAAAGTTGGGAGTTACTAGGAAAAAAAGAATAGAATTACAGAGCAAGGAAACGGTTGACAGAAGACTTAAAGAGTTGTAGGTTGTATGAGTTAGGAAAACATGAAGTTGGGAGAGAGTTCAAAAGGATTGATGTGCAGTGAAAAAAACTAGATGAATAATAGTTTTTAGAGCATGCAGGGACAGATGCAGTAAACAAATGAGATTTAGCTAAATGATGAGTCAAGGGAGAATGAGTTTTAATAGAATTAAAGATGATAACTCCTTTGAGCAGCAACCATAATAGCATTTGTAGAAAAGAGAAATAGATCGATTCTTTGATCATCAAATGCTATAATATTTAAGGGTATTGTCAGATTAAATAAATAATGTTATGAAATCCTGTTAATGCAATTTTAATATCTTGATGCCAACATTTATATATATATTTAAATTTTATTTTGTGTTTTTTAAGAGTTTTTTTTATTTTTATTTAAAAAAAAAAATTTAATCTTATTTTATAATTAGTAAATTTAAAAAATCAAAATTTTTTTTGTTTGTTTGTTTGTTGATTCTCCTGTGAATGTCATAAAGTTGGTTGCAAATTTACTTTTATTGTAATTTCTGGTTGGTGGATAAGTGCTCTAATTTTCTTCTTTATTTTCATAATCTGCAGACTTGTTCCCAATAAATACATTATCATAATATGTCAATTCTTTTTTAATAAAGTCTGTAAATCTTGTTTATGGTATTATTACCGGAGACTGCCTTAATTAATATGTTGCATGCCTTTTGTAAAGTAGTTGCACAGTCGCATTTTGAAGAAATTTATGCTGTGATTTCCTGAAAAAACTTTTTAGTTCCAACAACTCACAATTCTCATGTATATGAAGCTTTTCATTCTCTTTACAGTTACTGATAACTTACATAAGTTATAAGCTAATTTTAAATGCATTATAACTAATAACTTACATAGATTATAAGCTCTGTTTTGATTTAGTGATTTTCTGAAGATCATAGCTAGTGGTGTTATCAGTATACCAGTGATATTGTGCACTGTTGAAAAAAATGTAGTTGTATTCATTGTTATTTTCTGGTGACTTATTTCATTCGGCATTTGCTCTCATTTGGATGAAATTGTATTTTAGTTTAATGTTTATTTTGTATATGGGCAACCATTGTTGGATTGTCATCATTGTTAAATACTTTGTATGCTGTATGGCTGAAATTGAAATTGCTGTAAAATGGGCTGAAGGAACAGCAACAGAGTGAGAGACAATGCATGATAAGATGTAGATTACCCCCTTTATATTCTTGGTTTTTTGCTATAGAGTTTGTAGCTAGGATCTGAAAATATGTCAAACCAGGTTTTAGAAAAGAAGACCAAATGTATTTTTCTTTTTTGCTGCCTTGTCTATTCTCACTATTAGTTAGTCTAGTTTTACAATTATTTGACGCGATCAAAACACATATTTTGTTATTGTTGGATTTGGCTGTGTTAATGCAGTTCACAGATTTGGTTTGCCTGTGGATCTATATGATCTAGCTAGTACAGGTCAATTTTACAATTTAAATTTTATGATTCTATCTGTTGACCAGCTTCGCTCTCCTTCTTCATCAATTAGGCTGGCGCAGATGTATTTTTAATACATTGTTTCCAGTTTAGGATGTTGAATGCTGGACCTTCTTGACTCGATGCATGGGTTTTGCTTGTGTCTCTGTTTTTATGACTCAGTAATTCGTTCTATTATCTCCTAATGAGGGTACAGCTCTAAAACTCAGTTTTATGGTTCTGAGGCTGGCTGGTAGTCAGGTTTTCTGAACTCTGTGGTAGCTCTCAGAGAGGCTGATTCCATCAACAGCTGAAAAATATCAAAGTATTAATAGTGCCATGTTGTGCAGGGATGGTGTCCCTGTTAGTACTTTTTGTCTGCATTGCCAAGGCCACATTGGAGCCCTTTGTTATGGCTTAAGGTTTATTAATAGTAATGAGGCAATTGCTTGGGCTATTAAACAGTGTACTGAGTACTATCTATGTTTCAAGTCAAGTTCTTTAACAAATTTAAAAATGTAACAAAAACTATAAAACACGAAAAACCACTGTCATCACTAAGTTCGATAAATCCTATCATTCACTAATATTCGTGGTCTTCGAAGTAACTTTTCTTTTGTTGAATCTTATCTCTTGCAAAGTTCACCAAGACCTACTTTCTGTTTGTGAGACTATTTTGAGTTCAGCTGTCTCGTCTTGTGATCTTAGTGTTAATGGTTTATCTTCCTTTAATTCGTAAATACTCCAATAGTCACATGCTTGGCCTGGGCATTTACATCATTTGAATTCACCCATTTGTTGGGAAACTAGGTTTGAATCCACAGACTACTCTTTTATGTGCTTACTTTTAGCACCACTTCACTCTATCACCTTTCTCTTTGTTCTATATCGCTCTTCTTCATCTCAAGACTGCACTCTTCTTGATGTTATTTCTAATCATATTGACCAAGCCCTCTCTCTTTATCCATCAACCATTATTGTTGGTGTCGGTGACTAATGTTCATCACACTGAATGGTTTGGCTCTAGTGTCAGTGACTCTGCAGGCATTAAAGCCAACAAATTTTGCCTTTCTCAATCCCTAACTCAAATAGTCAACTTTCCAACTCGCTTTCCAGACAATCCGAATCATTTACCTTCTCTACTCGACTTATGACTTGTTTCTGATCCTAGTTAACGCTCAGTTTCACCACATTTAACCTTAGGTATTTCATCACAAAAATTATGGTTCTCGTGACTTCTGGAGAATCTTTAATAGTATCAATAATAAGGGCAAGTCTGTAATTCCACCTTTTTTGTATGGTTCAGACTTTGTCACCTCACCTAAAGACAAAGTTGAATTATTTGCTAAGAACTTTTCATCAATATCATCTCTTGATTCCACAAGTTGCATTCTACCTGATATAGCAGTCAAACAGGTTGATGCATTGCTTGACATTTGTATCGCTCCAGCTTCTGTATCTAGAGTGATTTCCTGCTTTGACTCTTCTACAGCTTGTGGCCTGGGCAACATACCTGTTATAGTCTTACAGAAGCGTTTTCCGGAGCTGTCATCTATCCTTTCAAAACTATTCAACAAGTGCTTATCAGAGTCTTGTTTTTCAGCCTGCTAAAAAGCAGTATCTGTTATCCCTATTTTTAAAATTCTGGAGAGCAATCTGAATTGTCTAACTACTGTCCAATTAGTCTTTTTCCTATCATAAACAAGTTTTTTGAATCTTTCATTAACAAACAATTAATCTCTCATTTTTAATCTAATAACTTACTTTCTGATCATCAATATGGATTTTGATCTTCTCGTTCTACGGCTGATTTGCTAACAGTAATAACCGATAGGTTTTGTCGTGCATTAGATAAAGGTGGAGAGGTTAAGGCCATCGCTCTAAAGCGTTTGGTAAAGTTTGGCATGCTGGTCTTCTCCATAAGCTTTCTTTTTACGGTGTATCTGAAAACATCTTTAAGATTATTGAATCCTTCCTTTCTAATCGTAGTATAAAGGTTGTCCTTGTTGGACAGCACTCTTTTTATTCTAATTCTTCTTATTGTTATCAGCTCAGCGCCAATCAATTCGAATAATTAGTTTTCAACTCCATTATACAGAAACTTCAAAGTTCTTCAAAAAACTTAAAATTCCTACCTTATTGCACTAGTTAAATTAGCTATAATCTTTTTTTTTTTGACTCCCTTAATAAAAATTTACCTTCCTCTATTACAACCTTTTTTACTGAAACTTGATTTATACATTATAAATACTATTGTTTTTGCTGTTACTTTTGCTCTATTAATGAATAAAGTTCTTATTATTATTATTTTTTAAATTAATATTATTAATATAATTGTTTGGTGTCACTTTTTTGATTAGGATTCTGCATGAGTGACTCCTTCCTCAATCAATCATTTATATTTATTATTAATAATTATATTTTGATTTGATTATTTATAATAATATAGATATTCTTATTCTTATTATTTTTATTATTATTATTTGTAACATAATAGTTATTCTTATTCCTAATATTGTTACTATTGTTATTATTGCTATTTTTATTAATATTATTTTTATTATTATTATTATTATTATTATTATTATTATTAATATATTATTGTAATTATATGATTGTAAATTTTGAGGAAAATAAATATATTGTTGTTGTTATTGTTGTTTAATTCTGTAACCTCAAGGGTTCCTCAAGGTTCAATCCTTGGCCCTATACTCTTTTTAATTTACATTAATGATTTTCCAGATATTCTCACATCTAAGGTGGCATTGTTCGGTGATGATAGTGCCATTTATTCTTGTCATGATAAGAAGCCAACTCTCTCTGATTGCTTGGAGGCGGAATTTGAGCTTGAAAAGGATCTCACTTCTGCTACAGCATGGGGCTCACAATGGCTGGTGAACTTTAATTCAATCAGCCAATCATTATTGCAATAATTTAGGCCTTCCTATATTTATGAACAGTAATGTACTCGATGAGTCATCTACTCTTCATCTTCTAGAATTAACTCTTACTTCTGATCTTACTTGGAAACTATATATCAAATCCGTTGCAAAATTAGCATCTGCTAAAGTTGCATCTCTTTATCGAGCTCGACGCTTTCTTACTCTGGATTCTATTCTCTATCTCTATAAATCTCAAATCCGACCTTATATGAAATACTGTTGCCATATCTGGGGTGGATCTTTTAATGATGCCCTTTCTCTTTTAGGCAAGGTGCAAAAACACATTGTAAACATAGTTGGACCTGCTCTTGCAGCTAACTTGCAACCATTATCACATTGTCGTAATGTTGCTTCTCTTTTTCTACAAATACTATAATGGGCACTGCTCTATTGAGCTAGCATCTCTTGTGCCAACTACTAAAATTCATTCTCGTGTTACTTGTCATTTAATTAAGTCTCATCCTTTTTTGTGACTGTTTCTAAGTGCTCCAAAATTTCTTATTCATCTAGTTTTTTCCCTCGTACATCAGTTCTTTGGAATTTGCTTCTTTCATCTTGCTTTCCTGATTCATATAATTTGCAATCTTTAAAGTCATCTGTCAATCGTCATCTTGCTCTACAATCTTCATCTTTTCTCTTCCAATTACTTCCAACACTAATTAGTGATTGCTTGCAGCCTTGTTGGAAACGTAGATGTTTAAAAAAAAAAAGCCTTGTCATTAGCAGTTACTCTTTGTATTGCCAACATTAAATCTTCATTGAGGATAATTTTGATAAGCATTGATTTAGTTGTGCTTATTTTGATGGAAGTTTAAAGGTAATATGCAGTTGTATACAATAGTTCAAATTCTTTGATAGAATAGGAATACATTATAACAAAACGAAAAACAGTAAGTAAGCAAATTACATTATATAAAATATTTAACAAATTCTTGAATGTTATTAATATGTTGAAAACAAAATAATTCTTGAGATTTTATATACATTTTTCATGAAGATTTATAAAAACTCAAAAAGTGTAGAAAAAACTTTTTTGACACAAAGACCATTTATAAATTATATAAACCAATAACTTTGCAATAAAAGTCAGAGTTTTTAAAGAGTAACAAATTGAGACATAACCTAGATATAACATAGATATTAAATATAGGAGATTGTAGCTTTAAAAAGTTTAACCGATTGAGACATAACCTGTAACATAAATATTAAATATAGGAGATAGTAGCTTTTAAAAGCTTAACCAATTGAGATATAACATAGATATTAAATATAGGAGAATGTAGCTTTTAAAAGTTTAACTAATTGAGGCATAATGAATGGTAAAAAGTATTATAAATTCAAATAATAAAATTATATGTGACTTATATGTGTGAATATATGAATTATATGTGTGAATCTATATTCATTTTTGTGACAAGTAACAAATTGAGATAAAGCTATTGTACATTAAAATAAAATAAAGCATAATAATTAGGAAAATGGCAATGATAAAAGAAGAATCTTTAACAGTGTCTATAATAAGGGCAAATCTGCTATTCTACTGCTCTTGCATGGTTCAGGTATTGTTACTTCACCTAAAGACAAAGCTGAATTGTTTCATTAAAACTTTTCATTGGTCTCATCTCTTGAATACACTAATTACATCCTACCTGAAATAGCTGACAAACTGGTTAATCCATTGTTTGACATTATCACTCAAGCTTCTATATCTAGAGTGATTTCTTCCTTCAACTCTTCTACAGCTTGTGGTCTGGCAACATACCTATTATAGTCTTGCAGAAGTGTTCTCTGTAGCTGTTGTTTATACTTTCAAAACTAATTAACAAGTATTTATCAGAATCTTGTTTTCTAGAGTGCTGGAAAGTGGCATCTGTTATCCCTGTTTTCAAAAACTCTGAAGAGCGATCTAATGAAGATCTCAAATCTAATAACTTACTGATCATTAATATGGAGTTCAATCTTTTTTTTCTACTGCTGGTTTGTTAATGGTTGTTACTGCTGAAATTGTTATTTAATTCATAGGTTTTATCATACATTAGATAGATGTGGAGAGGTAAGGGCTATTGCTCTCGACATTTCTAAAGCCTTTGATAAAGTTTGGCATGCTGATCTTTTTCATAAGCTCTTACAGTGTATCAGTTAACTTCTTTAAGATTATTGAATCCTTCCTTATCTATCATAGAATAAAAGACGTTCTCGATGGACAAATTTTATAATAAAATTGAATTTTTTTATACAACTTTTATACTACAACAACATCTACTTTATTTCCTGTAACTTTAGGGGTTCCTCAAAGTTCTATTGTTGGCCCTATACTTTTTTTAATTTACATTACTAATCTCCCAAAATTCTCACATCTAAGTGGCATTGTTTGCTGATCATACTACTATTTATTCTAGCCTTGATAAGAACACTTATAACACTCTGCTTTCTTGGAGGGGCGTTTGAGCTTGTAAAGAATATCACTTCTGCTACAGCATGGGGCTTTTGGTGGCTGGTGAACTTTAACTCAGATAAACTCAATTTTTTTCAGATAACCATTATCACAATAATCTATATCTTCCTATATTTATGAACGGTAATGTACTCAATGAGTCATCTACCTAAAGCAAAACCAAAGTCAAAAACCTGAAGCAAAAAAAATTATAAATCTAAAACTTTTGTTTTGACATAATACGCTTATAAAATCATGCAAATTTCAAATAAAAGAATTCAAATAATTTGTAAATTGCCTTAACTACACTGAGTCTTTCTATTTTTTATAAATATTATAATAAGCGCTACTCTAAAGAGCTAGTGTTTCTTGTACTGTCTACTAAAATTCATTCTCATGTTACTAATCATTTATGTTTTATCCTTTTACTGTAGCTGTTCCTAAGTGCTTCAAAAATCATTTTTCATTTAGTTTTTTCCTAGAACATCAGTTCTTTTGGAGTTCGCTCTCATCTTGTTTTGCTGATTCATTGCAATCTTTTAAGTTGTCTGTTAGTTGTTATCTTGCTTCTTAAACTTCATCTTTTCTCTTTCCGTACCTTCCAACACTAATACTGGTTGCTTGCTGCCTTGTTGGAAGTGGTTTTGTTTTAAAAAAAGACATTTACTGCATTTTCAAGTTTACTTAATCAAAAATAAAAATGTTATATAGGCAGTATATGTTTTGTATTGTAGTTTTTCTGTAATAGGTACATTTTCTTTTCTTTAGGCTTATGAAAGAGCTATCAGAAATCATGGTGCGTAGTTGTTTTTATAATTTTTTACTAATTATTACTTTAATTATATTATGTATGCCAATAATAAAATTTAGGTACATTTGTTTGATTTCAGGGTCATATACCCATACAATAATTAATGATAAAATCAAATGAACTTTGCAATTTTGTTTACTCTGTTAAGTTTTTTGCATGTTGATGATTCTTATATTTTGAATTAGATTCCAATCTGATGATTGTTTTGACCATAAAATTTTAGTTTAAATGATAAAAGTTTTTATCATTTAAGCACAAATGGAAACTTCATTTGCTTGCACAATGTATAGAGAGCTTGCTGTGAGACTGGTTGTACTTGCTAATTGTTTGTAAATATTTATTTAATATGTTCATAAAGTATAAGCTTTGTTTTCTAACTTCTTTAGTATTTATTTAATAACTAACTTGTGTGACCAGTCTCACCGTAAAATTGTAAAGTTAGAAAACCCCTAAAAAGTTTATTAATAATAATATATTTTTTATTTTTATTTCTTTTCCAGCTTTCTAGCAACAAATCTGTTACAGCATTTCCTGATGAAGAAAATACATTCAAATGGCATGGAAAAATAAAAGGACCAGCTGATTCTGTTAGTTTATTTAGTTTTTGTTTTTCAGCAGAAAAATTAAATTTTTATATTGATCATATTTGCCTTCCCGAGGTTGTAGTTTACTATTGTTGAAAATATTTATTCAATTTTTTTTATGACCCTCTATCAGCCCTTTTACTCTGAAACACAAACTTTGATGAAGCTACTGCGCAGAAAGTTAAGCAGTATTTCCTGGGTATGACGGGTTTAGACTCCTTATACCTTGCGGTTTCAAAGTATGTATTCTATCACTACACTGCCATTATATATATTTTTTTGTTCATTAGTAGAAACTGATTTTGTACTAATATAATAATTATGTTAAGAATATTTTCTTAATGCTTATAAACTAAAAGAGGTTCATTTTCTTAGATGTTTTCAAAGTTTTTCTTTTTCTCCTTTTTCTAACCCAAATATAAAATAAAGTTTTAGGTTTTTTATTGGTTTGTTTGCAGTGTAAATTTGAGACATTTTTACAAGTTATTTTTTTGCATTATTTATTAAACAAATAATATTTTATAAATAATTCAATAAATAATTTAAGTTTAATAAATAATGCATTAAATCTAATGCATTATTTATTAAACATTTATAGAAAATGGGGATTTAATTGTTTAATTATTTGACATATAGACAATAGAAACCATATAAACACAATCACACTATATACCGCTTTTTTTATAGTATCTAGTAAATAAAATAAACTTATTTCTAACATATATGGCTTTATAGAGGTCATAAAAATCTAGCAAGGGTTGAAATGATTTCTGTTAAATCACTGTTGGCAGTTATTCTATAGAGGTCATTTAAATCCATTTTAGACAAATCTTTTACAAGGGTAAATAATCGAGGAAATAATCTGTTTTTCAAAATTCTTAAAAATATTTATAAAAATGTTTTTTTTAAATTTTTAAGACTTTTTGTAAAATGCTGTTTATATTTTTATTTCTAGTTAATGTAATTTATCACAATCATTTTATTGTAAAGATAAGGCTATTTTTTTTTTTACTATATTAACCTTCCTAAGACTAACTGTTTAATTGACTATTTATTGTTATTGTTTTTGTTGTTGTCACAATCCTCTCTTACATCTATAACTCAAAAAAACAAGCATTGGTGAACAAAGCCACTGCACAAAAAATCAAGTTGAGCATTGTGCAGCATTTATACAATATTCTGAATTTTTTAATTTTTGTCTCCTTCCACCTCCTAGAATCAGGTTCCAGAGCAGCCCACCATGATTAAGTATCAGAAGAACATTAAATAATAACAAAACACTTTTCAAAACATGCTGAACCATCCTTTGCAAGTTATAACTTTTTTCATTTTTTTAAACTTAAAATGAAATAGGTTTTTAAATAGATTTATTGAAGAGGCTGGTACGTTTAAAAAAAATAAGATCTGCTATTTTAAAACACATTAGAAATAAAAATATTAAAAAAGAAACGAGGAACATAAAAGTAGTATTTTTTTAAACATGATTTAATTGTATTTGCTTTTTTATCATAATATTTTCCATCATTAAAAGATGTTTTGTTGTCACTTTTATTGAATTTAATTTGTTAATATTAGTGGTGTACCGATTATTTGGCATCAGTTTCGGCTTAATCGGTCACTTTTTGCACAATCGGTATCGGCATCTGCCTTTTTTTTTTAAATTAATTTAATGATTATCGAATTGATGGCAATTTAATATTTTTATCCTGTATTATGATAATAATTAATAAATAAACTAAAATTTATGGATTACTTAGAATTTTTTTGAGAAATTGTTCATATTGACTTTGTTTACAGGCAAACTTGTTTGTTCTTAAGATGATGTTTATAAGCTTTAATTTAACAGCTGAATGTGCTTATACTTTTATTACCATAATGTTGTTTTTAGAATTTTTTTGTTATACCTTAAAGTCCCCTATTTAAGAATTGTTATCTATATGTATTCAAGTATAGTCTTCTATATTTCTATATGATTGTTGTTTAGATATCTGAATGACTAATAAATTAATAAAGTTACAAAATTTTAGATAAACTACTTATCTTAATACCATTTTCTTTCGAAATTGTATTTATTTTTTGAAACTTTTCTTTTCATAATAAAAAAAACTAAAAACTATATATTTTTTTAACTGAGTTTTTCTAATATCTTTTAAAATAATAATTTGGCTCTGATTTGGGTCCATGTATTTGTTTACCAGTTCTGATTCCATGAAAAAGCTTACATGTTTTAAAGTTCTACAGTCTTATAGTTTCAAATTTTTAATAATTAGTTAGTTAATCGGTTTTAGCATCAGTATCAGTCTTTCCCTATACATCGGCATTGACCATAAATGTGCTATCGGTACATCACTAGTTAATACGCACAAAATCAAATAGATGGTTAGGTAGAATTTTTCAATTATATATTTAGTATATATCATTAATTTTTTTTTAAAGGTTTATATTTATTGGTATCATTATGATACGAATAAACATACAGATTTATTCATGGTCAAAAATAAATTAAAAAATTTTTTTTTGTCAAAGAGCGGCACACCAGGCCTCTCTGTTATAAAAAAATACAGATTTTCAATTTCAGCTTAAGTGAAGATGCTGGAGTAGAGAAAGTTTGTGTTTGAAATTGTTCAAGTTCTTTGCGTCCACCGCTTTTTGAATTGAAGAGTTCCATAATCTTACAACATGGTTGGTGAATAAGTTGTTTTTATCAGTGCAGTTTCAGACAAGTTGTGCTTTTAGTTCTTTAGTGTGTTCATGCGGCCAAAAACTGTACTTTGAAGATTCAGTGTTTGGTTGAAGTTGAGGGACAGGAAAGTTAACTTTGTCAGTTTTGCTCATGATTTATCTTGTTCGATAAGGTCTCCTCTATCTCGTCGTTTAGTTATTGTTGTCAGGTTAACGCTATCAAAGACTTTGAGTATATGAAAGGCTATCAAAGTCTTTGAGTATATGAAAGGTATTATCGAGTTTGGCAATGTCTTGAGCTAAAAACGGTGATCAGGTCTGTACTGAAAATTTTAGGTGTGGGCAAATGCACGAAATATACATGTGTGCCATAATGCACGAAATATACATAATGTGTGCCATAATGCACGAAATATACATAATGTGTGCCATAATGCAGAACTTCGAGCTCAAATAAATATACCAATAAACATCTGGTATATTTATGTATACTATTTGTATGCATAAATATACCATTTGTTATGAAATTTTGATATGCAAGGCTTTGTGTTTTATAATAAACTCAACTCAGTTTAAATATTTTCAATTATCTTTGTTAAAAGGGTTGTTAAATTATTTTAAATTACATTTAAAATATGTTTCTCAAAAAATTATTTTTATTATTATAACTTGAGATTTATTATCTCAACTTAGGTAAAATAGCAGTAAAAATTAAAAAAACCAGTTTAAATGATGTTTTAATGATATAAATACAAAGATTAATGATAAAATAAATATAAGGTTTTATAAATTAATTATAATATAATAATGGTGCTAATTAAATTTAAACAAAAAAACAATTTGAATCAAATAAGAGCAACTTAACAGGGCCAAAGTCCGTGTTGCTGGACCTGTTCAAAAACGAAAATTATAACTTATAAGTTAATGTTTTTACAGCGCTGATAGTTTTTTATGTTTTATACTTGATAATAACCTAGCATCTATAAATTAAAAAGTTTTAATTTTTACTGCTATAAAATAGCAGTAAAAATTAAACATTTTAACTTTTCGACTAATTGCTGTTTATAATATGCAAAAATGGGTTCTAGGTTTAAATTTAACCCTTTAATATTTTATAGGAATCTCTCGTAAAAGTTATATTTTTTAAGCTGTATGCTGATGTATAATCTATATTATTATACTATAAATGTTTATAGATCTTTTTTTACAATATTTTTATACATATTTTCTGAAATCACATGCCAAACAATAGTGTGTCTTTCATGTTATCATAAGATCTAAACAATGTCTTAGTTGCATTAATAAATATTGCTGTATGTTGTCTGTTATAATAATAAATAAAATGCCAATAAACAGTTTATTAGTAATAAATTAATTTTCATTTAACAATTTTAATTTTTATATATTTTTGTTTTATAATATGGAACAACATTCTTATTTTCTGGAAACAATATTCTTACATACTGTGGAATATTTTTTGAAATATTCAGTGACTGGAGAGTGCTTCAATAGTTTGAGTAAAACTCAAACTATTAAAGCACTCTCTTCATCAATTTGATTAAAACTTGTCTCTAAGTACATGCTAACTGCATCTACATGCTTAAAGACTAGTGATGTTGTTTTGGTTAGGTGCCAAAATAATTTACTCCTTGTGTCAATACTGATGTTCAGCAGTGCATGCGTTGGATGTTATTCTCTATACTTTATTTAAAACAAAACTATGAGGCTCTAAATAAAACTGCATCTTTACAATGACAACTTCCTACTATTTCTCAAAAAGGTTAGATTTCCTAATATTTCTCAAAAAAGTCGGCCAAATTTTGTTCCCTATATGGGTGTTAAAACACTATTCTGAAGCTATAAAAGCATTATCTTTTTTTTTTAAATATGCAAAATCTAATAGTTTGATTAGCTCTTGTAGACAATAGTTTGATTAGCTCTTGTAGACAATAGTTTGATTAGCTCTTGTAACATCTTGTAGACTTGGCAATTGGTTTGGCTCTAATGTTCTCATAGACTTGTTTGGCTTTTTCTTGTTTAGTAGACTGCTCTTCAACATTTATGTAGAGTTGGCAATGGGAATTTTACAATAAGGTTTTATTTCAAACCTAAGTAGAGTTTGGCATTTGATTACTATACAAATTATTTAAGTAATGCACAAAATTTAGTTTATTTATTATTTAATTGTTATTTAATTGTTCAATTAAGCCAATGCTGATGCCGATTAATCGGTATATCACAAATAACTATGTTAAGCATATATAAAGTTTATGTAATTGTTTGAAAATCTGGAGATTAGTAGAACTCACAGAAATAGTGAGCTTGGTAACAACATACAAATCATGATGAATAGGCTGCTGCAGTAGAGAACATGAACATATTTCAAATAATGACTTTGATTTAAAATTATAAAAACTGCTTTATAAAAAATATTTTTTTCAGATTTATTAAGGGTTAGCATACAAAATGAGTTTAGGCTTTCCAGAAAACTATTCTTATGAAGCTCCAACTATTTTTTTTTTTAGATTTATCAAGGGTTAGCATACAAAATGAGTTTAAACTTTCCAGAAAACTACCCTTATGAAGCTCCTACTATTAAGTTTGTTACACCATGTTTTCATCCAAATGTTGACGCACAAGGAAATATATGTCTTGATGTTTTAAAGGTAACAATTATATTGAATGGTTGTCAAGGTTGTTAAATCAAAAGCTTGTGTATGATTTATAATTTAATTTTATACTTATTTATAATTTATTTATATACTTTTTTAATATATACTTGTTTATATACATTTATATTTATAATATATAATTTATATTTATAATATATACTTGTTTATATATGTTTATAATTTAATTATTTACTTAAATTATTTACAGGAAATGTGGTCTTCATGTAATAGTGTTCTATCTGTGTTAGTTTCCATACAAAGTCTTTTACAAGGTATGTTTTATTTATTTTTGCTTATGAAATGCATGTGTACTGAATTGTACTGAAGGTTGGCTGCAAGAGCCAACTATGTATAACTATGTTTTCACTGCATTTTTGCACCTTGCAAAAGAGAAAGGACATTATTCAAAGTTTCGCTCCAGATAAAGCAACAGTATTTCTTACGAGGTTGGATTTGTGATTTATAGAGATAAAGAACAATAGAATCTAGAGTAAAAAAGTGGCAAGCACGATAAAGAGATACAACCTTAGCAGATGCTAATTTTGCAATCGCTTTGATGTATGGTTTCCAAAAAAAATCTGAAAAGTCAATCCTAGAAGATGAAGGGTAGATGACTCACCCAGTACATTACTATTCATAAATAAAGGAAGATCTAGACTGTTGCAATTAGCCAATAAAAAATTAAGTTTTATCTGAGTTAAAGTTTCCCAGCTGCTGAGAGCCCCATTCTGTAGCAGAAGTGACCTCTTTTTCAAGCTCAAATGCTCCCTTCAAAAAATCAGAGAGTTTTGGCTTCTTATCAATACAAATGGTAGTATTATCAGTAATGGCATAATAAATGTGAAAATGTCAGGGAGATCATTAGTGTAAATTAAAATGAGTATAGGGCTAAGGGTAGAGCCTTGAGGAACCCTTGAAGTTACAGAAAATGTAGAAGAGTGCTTTCCATTGAGGACAACTTCTATACTGCAATTTGTAAGGAAGGATTCAATCAATATAAAGGTGTTACCTGATACACCTTTAGAAAAGAGTTATGGAGAATCAAGCATGCCAAACTTTTTTAAAAGCTTTAGAAATGTTAAGAGTTATGTTAAGCCTTACCCTCTCCGCATCTATCTAATGCATGAAAAACCTATTAGTTGCTACTGTTAATAAATCAGCAGTATATTGTGAAGATTGTATAATGTATAATGTGAAGATTGAAAGCAATATTAATGATCAAAAAGTAAGTTATTAGGTTCAAGTTTAGAGACAAAGGGTCTGTTATTTAAAGACTCAAAAACCTTGCTTAAAGTTGTAAGAAGACTAATGGAATGGTAGCTAGACGAGTCAGGTGGCTCTCCAGAATTTTTGTTTCAGCCCCCTTCCTCCAACTTTCTACACTACTGTGTGTGTGTGTATATATATATATATATATATATATATATATATATATATATATATATATATATATATATATATATATATATATATACAGTGCTAATTTAGTTTCTTAATATAAAAGTGCTGCATTTTTTCAATTTAGAGAAATAACTATGTACCTGTTAAGAGACAACGTTCTTCAAGTTTTATTTATCACAAAGTTCATTATTTGTACACGAAAATTAATAAATTAATCAAAAGTATTAAAAAAAGTTGATTTCCTTCTGGACAAAACAAGTGTAACTCCACAAAATGTTGACCAAGCTGTATTTCACTATCAATATTTCGTGGCGAATTTTTTTTGCGATCACAGCCTTGCATCTTCGAGGCATAGATTGGATCAGGTGATCAATGAAACTTTGTGGAATCGCTGCCCAGGCCTTTTGGATTTGTTGATCCTTATTACAAACACCTTCACTATTAATTAGTCTGACCATAAAGCATAGAAATGAGGTCTTCAATTTTTTGCCGACCTCAAACACTTTCAGGTCGGCATTGCCGAATGCTGACCCTGAATCCGAGGGTTGTATATGCAACACATTATCTATGTATAATGCATACAGGGTCATTCTGAAGAGGTCTTACATGGGCAATTTGTCACATTTTTTTGCCAACTAATGACAAAATATTAAAATAAATCTTACAAAAAAAAAAAAGGTTTTCAGTATTTGATATTTGCCAACTTAAGTTCAAAACTTGGCCAAACAAATACTAAATGAACAAACGCGCTGCTTTAAATGCTCATATAACAGCTTTGAGGAGGGGGAGGGACAGCTCTGTGTGCATATCATGCTCTGAGGCCTGTTTTATTACAGGTCTAAAAATCATGCAATTTAGATAAAAAAATAAAGTTTTTGTGGGATTATACTTGGTACTTATTGTTTATGAAGCGAACTCACTGCACCACTACTGCATTTTAATAATTCTTCCTTAATAGCATTTTTTTTTTCATTTACAATGAGACAAAGTTTAACTTTTTTTTTAATTTTGGTTTATATTAATTTAAAGAAAATTAATTTTTTTTTTTTGATTACTCATTATTTAATTTAAGTCAAATAAAACAATGTATTTAGTTTAAAAAATGTAACCAAAGAATCCATAGAGTTGAGATAACTTGCGATTTTTATTTCAAATATTTTTAAAATTGATTGGAGATTAATAATTAATTAATTGTTTGTATTTGGATTAAACGAGTTTAGAAAATTTTTAAGCATTTTTAATGTTTTTAATCATTCATTTAATAACTTTATAAAATAAATTTACATGGATTTTTTGTAACTAGTTATTTATCAGGTCTTTGTACTTGACTTAACACATCACCTTACTCTAGTACTGCGCTGCTTGTAGGATTTGCTTTTTTCAACAAAAGCAAGGTAATAGTAAATGCTATAAATTTTTTGTAAGTGCTTTAGGGTTCTCGGTAAAGCAAAGAATTTTAATGATGTCTTGATAAGCATACACGCTCCAACTATCATATAAAATGCATTTGAAAATAAATATAAAGTGCTCGGTGTCTTTCCACTTCTTTATCTGTCGACTGAGTTAGATAAAATTAGTGTAATATTGCATTACAAGACATACAGCATTTCATAACGTCACTGAAATTTTTTTTTCTTTTGCATTTAATCGCATCAAACTTGGGCTATAAAAAATTTTTAAAATTGTAAAACTTACAGTAAAACTACAATTGAATATACGTTTTTAGCTGTTTAAAATTGTAGTTTACTCAACTGTAATAATTTATAGAAAAAATCAATGAAAATTTTTAGTAGAAGGGTATATATGTTCACAACTTATACGTTGTAGTTACGTTACAAGATAATAACTACTATTGTTAACTTATTGCTGTTAATTTTTTGGTTTGTTATAGACAAACCAAAATGTTAATTTGTTTTTTGTTTTTATTTTGTTATAATTTTCTTATCTTAGATCCAAATATTGAAAGTCCTTTAAATCCTCAAGCAGCAACACTTTGGAAAACACCAATAGGTATTTAATAAATTTAAATTTTTCGTAAGTTTTATTAAAAACTTAACAATTTCAGGTTACGATTCAGTTTTATTCAACGAAGGGATAAATAGCATTAAGCTTACATTCCTGTGATATTTGCGTGTTTTAATTTTACTAATATCTATTAAAAATATATTGTTTTTATATAAATTTTATATCTTTGTTTATATTAAAGATATGAAACCCGGAAAAGAACTTTTAAAAAATATTATTATAAACTTATATTTTACATTTTCTCAGAATACAAACGAGCTTTGATATCTGCATCTTCAGACGCTATCGAGGTGTTCAATTCGTGGTAATAGTGAGATAAAAAATAGCTATAATTGTAAATAAATTCATAATTAAATTACTGGAATTCTATTTAATACAAGTTGTCATTCCTAGTTTTTATATACACATGTGAATGAAATATAATATTTACAAATTAAATTTATTTTTCCAAATATATATATATATATATATATATATATATATATATATATATATATATATATATATATATATATATATATATATATATATATATATATATATATATGTATATATATAAAATATTAATTCGGTGCTTATTAATAACTATCTTCATATTGTACTTGGCCAGTGGCTATACGCATTATGGTATTTGTACGGTATTTTTTATCACACCTTTTTAAATTTTTTAGTTCAAATTTTAAAAACTATATTATTGGAATAAACTTTGCACTATTCGAAGAAAAGATAACAACAAGCGAACCAAAAAATGTTATTCAACTAAAAAACAAACAAAAAAGAAATCAGGATTTTACTTGTTGTGAACCTAAATGCTTTAGCATCCAAGTAAAACATAAGAATTTATTATTTTATGCAATTCCCAATAAAAAAATTTTTAAAGAATAAAAATAATATTAATTTCTTACAATAATTTTTACATCCTTTCAAAATTTTTTAATCATTAACTGAAAATAAAAAGTATTTAAACATGGTAAAATCTTATTGAACCAGTTTTCATTTTCAAATTTGATTTCACGAAAAAGTCTTCATATTTGTATTGAACAAAGTCAATTTCGCTCTTTTCTGTAAAAGCTTTGATACCTTGACATTGGTAAAATTAACTGTTTGATTTTTAGTTTTTGCTGTCTATTACTGATTTCCTTACAAAAAGTTTTATCGGTACAAGCTTTTTGTACACAAAGATTTCTTTTTTTAAAAGAACACTTTACTTCAATCATTTTAAAGCTGTCTTACTTAATAACAACGCATCAGGGCTAGAACCAGCCATGGCATTTAGGATTTAAAACAAGATCGCATTTTTTAGCATCACAGTTAACTTTTTCTTTAAACTTTTCATTAGCAATATCTTCATTTTCAATATTTCACTAACAAGCTTGTGACTGAAACTACTGTAACAGTTTCTTATAAGCTTTTTTAACAATTAAGTTGGAGGAGTATTATTTCTACGGTTTAACCGTATTTCTACCAAAATTTGATGCAGTAAGTTTTTTATTTTGTTCTTCAATCCATTTTTGTTTTTGTATTGATCTTTAGTTTCTGATTTAATTTGAATTATATTCACAACAATGATTAACATTATGGCAAGCTTTAATTTTCCTGAGTCAAATTAGTTTTAATTAAATGGTCCACACAATGTAGAAATTTTTCCATTATAACTAGGCTTAAATTTTTCAACATTTTTTCATTAACTCGTTAATTAATATTTCACAAAAATAATTTTGGCTAAATTTAATTTCAATAATTAACACAGCCATTGTCATTCCTTAGTTTAATTCTATATATAAAATATTAGGTTTAACTCTAATCTATTTTACATAATTCTCTTTGAATAACTGATAACCAGCTATGTTATGTTTAGCAGCTCTTCTTTCAAAATATCGTCTGAAATATCGTTCTTAATTTTTCTATTCAAACAAATACCATAGTGCATTGCGTGAAATAATAATAAGGGGAAAGGTGAATTGAATTATTTGCATGAATGTAAATTAATGAATAACTAATAATAATAATGAAAAAAGACCACCATTTAAGAATGTGCAGAGACCCTAATTTTAACTAGTTTAAGAGTAAACTAAATGTTTACTCTTCAAAACTAATCTCACTAACTCTATCCGATATAGCTTCGCCGATTTATGCAAAACTCCAGAATTAAACCGTAATGTTATAGAAATATGTGATCATACTACAATACAAGTTAAGAACCTTTAGGTTTGATAATGCGTTTTCATTTGCAAGAGTGTGTAGCTAGTAATCAAAAATTCGCATCCTTGCAAGGATGCGAAAACTGGGGATAGCTTGCTTCAAAATTGTTTGTCTAAATATTTTTTTTATCTCTGTGACTCTACCGTATCATGTTGAGCAGAAAGTGAGTTAACTGAAAAAATCTGGACTATTTTGTGATTAAATTTTTCTTATTAACACCTTCGTGCAAACCTTTTTTGGGGTGTTAGTGAAAATTTTGCTGTGATGTCTAAAACTCCGTTTTGCGTCGCTATGTGTCGCAACGCGGAAATAGGATTCTACTTACTTTTCTGAAAGATGTTTCCAATTTTAATGTTTTAAATCTTTTTTAACCAAATCAAGTTAGTATTAATCAATAAATGTTTAATTTCAAATTTTTTTAAATACGCCGTTTTAAGGGGTTAAAAAACCCAGGTTTTTACTAAATCTTTATATTACATATAATAATTTTCTTTAAAAATGTTTAGATTATTGCTTTTTTGCGTCCATAAAAATTGATTGATTAGACCATATTATCACAGAAGTAGCCAGTTTTTTATTTTACATTAATTTTCTGCAGCAAATTGGCTTTTTAGGAGTGAAATAATATTCTGGTTATCTCTGTAGTAACATGCTATATAATCAATTCAAGTGTACTGGTTTTTATTAAAACCGGTTAAACGAAAAGCATTACTGGATTGGGCGCGGTACATTCTTTCCTAGTCTTAACTTAGAAGTTATAACTTCTAAGTTTGATTCTAAGCGTGGTTTGAAAATTGTTTTACTTTCAATCTCAGCAAACTTTTGGCTGATGATTTTTGTCCAAGGCTTATTTTCACAAGTAAAAATGTATCTGCATGTGCCATATTTTTGCAGTCCAAGTTTTCACTTTATATTTTTTTATTTATTTGTTATTTAGGTGCCCTAAGAAGACCTAACGGTTTTGAGCACCGCGGAAGTGCATTTAACCAGGTTTACGCCCCCTTCAATACCGCGACGCGAAATATGCCCAAAGCTCGTTTCGAACCTGGATCTCCTTCTTATAATGAATTTTATTTATTTATTTATTTCGTCATATATAAGCATTTTACAATGTTCTCGTTTCCAAGTTTAATAAAATAAATCAAAATATAAAGAATGACAGGAGCAAGTAGAAGACATAAGTCTTGTCGTCAAGCCCCTACAATTTGTGTGATATATTTTTTACAAAGTATCCATATTATATAAAATATAATAATTTATATTCACTATATAAAGCAAGTTAAAATAACAATAATAAAATAAAATTTGCTAAATTAAATAAATAAAGTAAAGATTAGCTTTATAAGTTTTTTCAACAAAAAAAATAATCATTTTATATAGCAAGTTAAAAATAGCTATACTATAATAAGATTTCTAAAGTAAAATATAGAAATAAAATATATATAATAATTATTTACATTTTTTTTTGTGTCATTATCTCATTATATGCAAATACTCATTATAAAAGCAAATAAATATAAACTTTATTGTAATAAGATAAAAATACTTCAAAAGTAAAGTAAAAAGCAAAAAAAAAAAAAAAAACAGAAAGAAAAACAAATAAGTAACGTAAAAAAAAATTAAATTTTAAAACTAAAAATATAAAAGTATGTTTGTATCAGTCAAATTCTGTTTAACTACATTTTTAAAAGATTGTATTAAGGTTAAACTTTTCATTTTGTCGTCAAAAATTCTATTCCATAGATAAGGTCCTCTATATGAAATTGAGTAATCTGTTGTTTTTTTTAATGTTGACTTAGGTAAGTTAAAATTGTGAAAAGAGCACCTCGTTAAGTATTTTTTGGTTTGCTCGCTTTTCTTTTCTTGGCATTTAGTTAACGACAAAAAAGACCACAAAACGTAAGTTATTAGGTTCTTTTTAATAACAACAAGGACCAGAGAAGGAAAGCCAAATACAACTTACCAATACCTAAAGATCATCTTGAACTACAAAAGCACTATTTTACTTATTTATTATTGTGTTTTAGAATAAATAACTTTATTAATAAAGGGGAGCATTAATATGCATATTTATTAATGTGTTCATGAGTTAGTAATTGGCTCGTGAAACATTTCTTAAACATGGTTAGGTCATATTAACTATTATTGGTTTCTCATTTTTAATTTAATCTAATATGCAACTTAGTTTTGCATTAAGAATATATTCGCGTGATTTTGAAAAACTTTTAAATTATACTTGTCATAAACTAATTTATAGTAAGAAGACTGATTTAAAGAGATTTTATAGCTATTAATGCCAGAAAAGAATTTATTTGAAGATCTAGGATAACAGATGACAAAATTTTAACAATCTCCATCGGCGTAAAAAAAATTTAAAAAGTAGAACAGTTCCTGGAGCTAGGAGCTATCATCAATTTAACCCAGAATCTATAGATATTATTATTCTATAGATTCTATAATTCTATAGATACTATTTGTTTTAAACGAACAAGTGAAGGTGTTAATATAAAAGTTTTTTTTTTCTTTTTATGGTATTTCAAACTAATCAGCAAACTAACATCGATAAATTGAAATTTGGTGAGTTTATTCTGCGTAAATATGATACCTTCCATTGGATTGGTTTGATAAATGAAATTTATCATATTTAAATCTTTTTATGATCATGGCAGGTTATTAGACAAATTTTTTTCATTTGTTGAAAATATTACGGCAATATTTATGCACCCACATGGGTCTTTTAAAAACTTTTCTGGCATCTAAAGCAGATGAGTGTTTGGTTTTAATTAAAACCGGACCTATATTTTGACCATTGATGCATCTAAGCAAATCTAAACACAATCTTGACACGCTTCTTTTTTTCTATTTTATTTTGTAAATAATATGATAAAACAAAATAAGTATAAACCATGGTTCCTGCCCTGGAAAGAATTTTAACACCTGTTCATCAGGACTACACAAATGCTGAAAGAGTTCCAGTTTTTTGAAAAAAAGTAAAAAATCTATTGCAAGATTACACTTTAGAAATCCTAAAAGTTTCAGAGCTCCAGGTAGTTTGAAAGGTAGAGAAAAACGAATCGCAATATTTCCATACAAAACGTAAGCCGTGCCCAGTTTTCTCTATATAGAAATCCTTATACTTAAGGATCATATTTGCTATGTTATCTGAAAGATCAATGAATATGGAATAATGTGTAAAATATTTTTTCGGTTCCATCAAAGCTACATGGGTTTTTTGGGCACTAAAAACAGGTATATAAAAAACTGCCTAAAATTATTTAAATTGATAAATACAGATATTTAATAATAACTTTTTATGTTTCTGATCATTCTATTGGATTCGTTAACTCTAAAAATAGCCAGATACAAATTTTTTAGTAAAAAGATCAAATATTTTTAAAGTTTAAAGTTAAAAATAAATCTTAAAAAAATTGTTATAAAATTTGAAACCTTTTGATAAAGCGTATAATTTTCTTTTAAACAATTTTCAAAAGATTTTCAACTGGATTTGATAATAACATACCCGTTTTTTTTTTATAAAACACTCGTTTTGACCAAAAAAGTATTTTTAGACTTTTGTTTTTTATAAAAAACTTTTTTAAGCCTAAAAAATATTTTTGGATGTATTAAAATTAGCAAAAGTATTTTCAATTTATAAAAATAATGATCATTTATATATTCAAAAATTATTTTACACAATTTTTGACCATTTTTGACCCCTTCCACCATTTATATAATATCTTCAATAATGGAGCGGTGTCGGAGTACCTATCAACATTTATAAGTGTTCCAATAGTAAAATATTGTAAGATAGTTCCTATAACTATCGTGGAATTAGTACCATGTCCATGTTGACAAAACTCTTTGAACATATTATTATGGAATAATGTCCGGAAAAATCAGATAGCCACTCTCATCAATTTGGTTTCAAGCACAATAGCTCCACTCTTCATGCAGAGTTCCTTTTAAGTAAAACAATAAATTATTACGATAATAATAACTCCAGTTACTGGAATTTGTTGTTTGAAAAACTTTAATACAACAAAAAATTACTGCTATCAGTAGTTCGCGTACTATAGCGCGCGAACTACTATAGTATAGTGATAAGTATAGTAAATGTATTAATCACTATACTTCTCGATATTGCTAATATATTGGACCTTGGGCATAAATCAAATCATTTCCGTGTGTCATCATTTCCATGCCTTGCATGCAACAAGGATCAATTTTATTACTACATTTATATAATATATACACTAAAAGTATATTAAATCAAATTGTTTCAAATAGCAAAGTTGGAACAACAGTAAGTGGTGTATAGACTGGTGTATTAGTAAGTGGTGTATTTTTGCTTTTGTAGACGACTTAAGTCTTTCTGGTCTACAAAAATTGGTTAATAAAGTTCAGTAACAATACAAAAACCTATATATCAAAGTAAACACTGAAAAAATCAAATTAATTATATCCTGTATATATGGAGGGTTTAATGAGAAGTTATAACTATTTTTTTATCTGAAGAATAACATTTTACTTTTTACAAAAATGAATGAAAATTTAAAATACTTTTAAAGTTAACATGCTTTAAAGTTCACTTAGAAATAATACAGAAAAATAAGCTCGTCAAAATTATAGCACATAGTACTAATTTTAGATTAAAAAAACAGAATTTGATGTAATATGAAGAAATGTTGGATCTTTTAGCTCTAAACATTTAAGAAATACGATCTGGAACAGAATTTACCAATTTAATGCAAAGTCTTGTCTCAAATGTCTTGATTGGGTATCGATTAGGTCATTTGTGTTGCTTATGTTGTAATTTTTGAGTTTTTGGTCAATAATTGACCAAAATTTTAGATCAGATATGTATCTAATGAAGTGGGTGGCTATTCTAGTCAAATATTCTTGGTTGCAAACTATTCCAGAGTTTTTTTTGCTTTATGACACGCTGCATTGTCTTGCATAATATAACAATCTCCAGAATTAAAAAGAGTGTCATATAGTCCGGTAATTCAGCAATAACTTCTAAATAACAAGAAGCATTCAAACAACCTTCGTAAAATTTCAATAAATCTCGTATGCAAATTTGTACTCCATTTGCATAAAAACATCCCCATACAGAAATAGTTCCATCACCACCTTGTGCTCTTATTGCAAAATTAAATAGTAAATCTTTTTCATTAGGAAGACGACATACAAACTTACGATTTTTTCTATTTATGACTTAAAAACATGATTCTTCGCTATATACTACATGATGTAATTGATTTCGAATCCGATCAACAGTTTTTACAACAAGTGAGTCTAATATTAATAATATTGAGTCTAATATTAATTATATTAGACTCACAAGTGAGTCTAATATAATAATATTTTTTTGAGCCTTATTTTAATAACAACGTCGTTTCTGTGTGTAACTTTTAAACCCTTTTTCTAACAAACGACAACAAACTGTTCTTGCACTAATGGTTTTATCTTTTGCAGCATTCAATTCCATACAATTTTTATACTTGATCAGTACGATTTATTTTAGCAAGTACATTCACTACTTAGCGGTTTTCTGTAGAATTAGTACACCTACGACATCCTTGTTTTGATCGATTTTTCATTGGTAAACTCAATTTAATTTCATCAGCAATATTATAAACAAAATTTCTGGAAGTTTTAGTATTTGTAGCAATATCAGAAATATTAAATTGCTGTTGAATTAAGTTTTTTACAAGTTGTCGCCACTCAGAGCTCACTGCTTTGCAACCCATTGCATAAATTTTGTTTTAATTTTAAAATTACTGAAAAATTTTTAAAAGTTATAAGATTTGCTATTTTAAATAATTAACTATGATGCTGGTAGATAAATAAAATATTATACACAACAATGCATAAATGCATTTAATCATTCACACTGTCAAAATTACGTATGAATATAAATGTGCTAACATTTGACCAACATTTTTTGCATATGTTGGTAAAATTGTTCAAGATGAATAATGAACAAAATTTTTAATTTTGTTCATTATTCATCTTGAACAATTTAAAAAGACCAGTGTAAAAACATTTTAAAAGACTAGTGTAAATACATTTCAAAAATACAGTACTCTCAACAATATGATTAATGCATACAAAAATGTTACATGACAATCTTGATTTAATAGGTTGTGCTATAACTTTTTTCAGTGCTTTTGATCAGTATTTTTTCTTTATTTCTCAGAATTAAATTCTGAGTTTGATGAGAAAGGCTGTAGTTGTAGAACATAAAATTCAACTTATTGTAAAAGAGAAGTATTTTATCGATTGATTTTTTTGTCGTAACTAAAATGTTTAATAAACAAGAATACGCGTTATTGGACACGTTTGAGTAGAGCAATTTTTAAGGTTTGATCAAGTTTGCACCCAAAACTCTAACTGCCGTAATTTTTAAGAAGGTTTGATCAAGTTTGCACCCAAAACTCTAATTGCCGTACTTAATATACAGCTTTACAGTTAGCTAGAGAGCTTCGACACAGAAATGCCTTGCGACAACCAAGCATTCGATTGATAACCAAAGTTGCTGATTCTAATTGTATCTTGACTTTGAGATTGTCGGATATTAGTACATTCTAGCTTAATACGTTTGGTGTCACGCTTAGTACATTTTGGAACTGTATTGCATCCATTACCGTCAATGTCAGCCACAGTATTATTAATTAGTTTTTGAAACAACCAACTTACATTTTGATATTAAAATTTTAAGGCTACCTGTGCAACCAATTCACAGCGCTGTCTTGCAGTTTTTCATAATCAGAGAAAATTGATTGATACCAATAACTCGTGTGATTTTGCCATTGGTTGCCAAAACTTGATATGGTTATAAATGCATTCTGGTAAGTCATTGATGAAGAACATAAATTACAGTGATCCTTGAGGGTTACCACTTGTAACTTTTTACCATTGGGAAAAGGTGACAGGTTTATTCTTTTATTATAACTCATTGTTGTCTAATAACTAGAAGTACAATAGCTGGCCCCAAATGCCATAAGTATGAATAAGTGTTGAATGTTTTGGCAAAATTGTTAAAAATTTAATAAACCAGGTGTCCTTGGTAAACTTCCTTAAAAATGTTAAAGGATTCAGTCTGGTTTGTAAGGCAGCTTTTGTGATGTACAAATTTATGTTGAGACTTTAATATTGGGTGCACAGTGATTTAATATGCTATCTGTGATAATTCTCTCCATCACTTTTCACAATATAGGTGAGAGACACCAGTTTGAAGTCACAAGTCTTGACTTTATTTTTTTTAAAGAGTAGGCGTGACTACTCTTTAAAAAAAATAAATTGATTTGCGTTGAGATTTTAACAATCTATGGGAAGTCTCAAAAATTAGAGTTTTAATTATTTTTGTTAAAAATAAGTAAAATTCTATTCTATGTAGTGAAAATTAAGTAAAATTAATTAACAAAGCTTTAACTGCTTTGCACAACCCCAAGTAATCTTATTTATACCAATATCAATAAAAACAATTTTACTTTTTTGTAATTAAAATCATGATTTTTTTGTCTTTTTTCTTCTGGCACTCCTATTATCTTGACGCCCGGGATACGTATGCTCCGTTTACCCTTCCCTTTCGGCGGCCCTGATTGTAACAGTTCGAATACTTTATTCATAAAACTATCTTTTTAGTTAGTTGAAGAAATTGATTGCAATAAAAAATATAACACAAAACAATATATATAATTTACTTTTTTTTATAGGTATAAAAATCTATATAAAAATAATTTTGTTAGAAATGTGCATATTACAATCCTTGCAGGAAAAGGTTTTGAATTTTTATATTTACATTATTATATTGTTATATTAAAAAAATATTTTTTAGAAGAAATTCACAATGAATCTCAAAACAAAAATTTTCCATATTCTAAAACAACAACAAAAGATCTGACTACCATTTTATAAAAAGAACTAATTATCAAACAAATTTGGCGGGCAGGTGTTGTCCGGCAAACCCTTCCAACAGAAATAATGAACTATAAAACCGGGTGGGTATCTTGCAAATGCACTTGTACCAATCCTTTTGTGACAGATGAGACAGTTACGTTCTTCTGTAATTTCACATTTTGTGCTCTGGTAATAAATTTGTTGTTCATATATTTGCAAATATTCAGCGTGTATGAGATTTTTTCTTACAATAGTTGAGTGTTTATTTTGTACCTTATCTTTTAGTGCTGTTGTTAAAAAAGCCAAAATATCTTTGATTTTGGTGTAAGAAGGCAAAAGTTCTAGCGCGTCTTTGATTTCGATTCTTTTTGCGTACTTGCATAAAATATCAAGAGCAACTTGAAGATCGGGATTCATTACCACATCATTGAATACAGAGTTAGGTGCAGTAAGAGAAGGTAATTGTTCTGGGTGTAAATACATCTTCGCTAAGCTCAAATAAACATTTCTATCAGATTCATCTGTACAGTTTTCTGCAGAAAATATTTTATGACAATGCTGCTCCGCCATATAACGGTCTTTTAAAATATATATGTAAATAGCTAGAGCTTCTTCATGCCGCTTTTCTCTCCCGTACAATAAAGCACGCTCCTCATGTAGAATGTTCTGCGGAAAATACCGAAAAAGTTTCGATGGCTGATACTGGGTAGAATGTTCCAGAAAAAAAAGAAGTCTTGCACGTAAATCTCCTAGTTTTCCTGGCTCTTTGCCAGCTGGCGCTCTTTTATCACTACTTCGCAACGAAATAAGATAATCGCGCATTAAAGGAATAATTGACTCTATATAGCAACTAACCAGACGATTATGAAATTCGGATTTTGTTTCTTTCCAATCAAAAATAATGTGTTCTAAATACTTAGTAACAGTACTTGGTGCATGCTTCTTCAAATGTTCTAACACGCGATCACGTGGAAGTTGTTCGATCTCTTGTGTATCGTTAGTGAATATTGTTAAAGCTTCATTTGGATATTTTTCCAAAACCCCAATCGAATATTTAAATATAAGAGATAAATTTGATTCACCAAGTTTTTGTAAATATTCTATTGTTTTAGTTGGCCCTTTCAGAGGGCTTGAATCGATATCTGATTGGTCCAAAAGAAGATTTAAAGCTTTCTCATGTTCATTGTTGCTCTGGTAAAGAAGCACAAGCTCGTTGAATTTCTTTTTTTGCACAAGCGCGTTCTCGCATTCCTCAACGTGACAGTGGTTACTGAGACGCAAAAGAGGAGCTATAAGATTATCATTTACTTGCAGGTAGCATTTAAGTAAAGTGGTATCAATTAAACAGAGAAAACTTTTGCTTGTTTCAGATTGTTGACTGTTTAACACCGATGGCAGTCGACTTCGTGCGACTGCTGACTGTTGAATGCTTGTGACAGTAGATTGTTGGGTCTGAAACAAAATAATAATTTAACTCCTAAAAGATATATGCAAATGTAAAACATAAAATTAAAATTAATCGAAAAAATATAAAAAATAATATTAAAATTAATAAAAAAAAAAAAAAGAAAAATAATGTTAAAATTAATAAAAAATATAAAATATAATATTAAAATTAATAAAAATATGAAAAATAATATTAAACATTGACGACTTGCAGTAAAATAGTGGTAAACTAAAAAATTATTAAAAAAACGACAAAAAAAAAAAAAAAAAAACCTTAATAGATTTACATGTTGAAGCTGATGATGGCAACATTTCTGCAACATGTTGTAAAACTGTTTTATGTAAGGCGAAGAGCGCAAAACTGTTTCTATACTTTGTAGTAGAAACACTTAAATTATATGTTTATATATCATATTTATATTTTGAATAAACCACACAACTATTTTAAGTTTAACTTTAGCGTTTCAAGTCGTTGATCTTTATAAAATAAAAGTAAATAATAAAAAATAATTACTTATAAAATTAAAGACCTTTCAAATAAATGAAAAATCATAGAAAATTCTTGTTGTTAAAAATTAAATTAAAATATAATAAATTTTTTACATAGCACAGTGGACCACAATTCATTTTAACTGGACAAAACTTATAACTCATCATATAAAAAAGATTTAAGAACCATTTTTGTAATGTTTACTAATTTAAGGATTGCGGTTTTTATGGGGACATTATTTTTAACTTTGGGTTGCTATGGATACCTAAATTGCTTAGCAACTACATATTTTATTACCTTAACAAATATAAAGTAGAAAATGTAATAACTTTATTGGATTTCTCCCATAATTACTGCATTGAGTATTTTGATACTACAAATGTAGTGGTACTACGGATTTTTTATTTGGATGATACTGACACCTAAAATGCCTGACGCTTCATTTTGCATAGTTACCAGCATCAATGTTATAACTAGAATAACCGTGAGTTTTAACCTTTTTGTGTATATAAAATATTAGGATTAGCTAACTTCAGGTTTTCTTGTATTATATATGAATAAATATCAATATTTTTTATGTTTTTAACTATATAAAAATATAAATTTTATTTACAAAATGTATATTTTTACATAGTTAAAAACATAAAAATGTTTAATTAATAAAACAAGTTTGTACCACTAATCTAGTTATGCTAAGACCTAATTATTACATAACCATTTAGAATAAAATACATATGTTTTTGCCACATAAAATCGGATACATCATTTACCTGGTGGGAGATGAGCTAGCAACTAGCTAGTCACTACTTATGGGTAAAAGACGCGTAAAAGACGTATAAAGTATTAATACGTGTTTTAAACATTTTAAAAACGTCTTGCATCAACTAGCTATTTTTTTTTTCTCTGGTTAACTAGCAAAAATCATTAATAGAGACCAGGCGGACATCCGCAGATTATAAAACAAATTTATATTATTAATATACATATTGAACAATGTATTTCAAGTTTCAAATTAATGGACCGCTTTGGACTGCAAAAGTATTCGACTATATAAATGAAATTTTAACTAAAAAAAGTACTTCAAATACCAGTATTGTTAAAAAAGTACCAAGCTGTCACATGAAATTTTTACAATCATTTAATTCTTGCTTTGCATATTTTAAAGTTGAAAATTAGAGGATTTTGCTCTATATTAACCCATTTACAATATCAGGTATTAGCAATTAAACACTTACAATTTTTTTTTTTGCTTTGATAAAAATGATTATCAATTATTAAATCTTTTTGTAGAAACAACTTTTTACATGAAAAATTATTATTTTTTTCCCTGTGTCATAAAAAAACTGGACTTCCTTAGCATATAGTACAAATTACAGATAAAATATTCAAGGGTCATGGGTAACTCCGTAAAATAATATTATGATAAACTTGTTGAAGTACAGTGTAATTTTATTAACAGAACACATTTAGGGGGTGGAAGCATATTTATTTTGTTTTAGAAAAAACCTTGACCCATAGTTTTTAAAATATCAGATTTAAGTTTTTTTTGACTAAATAAAAATAAAATAAATAAATAAAAATAAAATAAATAAATAAAAATAAAAAAATAACAGTATAAAATAACATGTATAAAAATAAATTTTTTAAAAGTTAAATCAAAAAATAAAATTAAAAAGTTTGAAATTGTCAGGTTTGAATTTTCTTAAATTTGCCATATAGCTAAATTTTTTACACAGTTTAAAAAATAAATTATAAATACACACTACAATATTAAAAAAATATTACCTGTTTTGCATTACGTCTTATTGCAGTTAAATAATCAATCAGAACTTTCAAACCTTTTTAAAAAAAATAAAATTTTAACCTTTTACAATTCTTTATTATTATTTCTTCTATCTTATTTAATAAATTAAAAGTCGTCAAATTTAAAAGTTTAGACAATTAACATTTATATAACTATCAGCACTTGATAAATAAAGAAATAACATAAAGCTTTTAATTTAGCATTAACCAGTCTATGGTTAGACATGCTAGAGATGATACAACTACTGAAGTTGCTAAGGTTTAAACAGGTGCTGTTTAAACAGAAGTTGAAACAAGGTGGCCACTCAAGAGGCTTAAATAAACTGGCCACTTAAAAAGGTAAAGCAGGGCAGCCAATCAAAAAGGTGAAACATGGTGGTCACTCAAATTTTTTAAAGTTCAACAACATTTTGAGACAAAAATTAAAACGTTTTTAAATATACATATTTTTTATACACATCAACATACATTAGTAATCACAAACTAAATTAATTTGCTACTGACACAAATCAGAAACCTAAACAGAAGAAGCAACATAACTTAAAGACACAAACTACATATCAATAAGCTAAAATCAACTAACAATAATCTTAAAACAAAAAGAAAATATAAAAAAATCAAATAGCCTTATGTACTTTAAAAGATTATACATATTTTATATTTTTGCTTAAAAAATTGCTTCATACATGTATGAAGCAACTTTTCAGTTGATTAAACAGAAGGAAAAAAAAAGTAGAATTTGAAATCATAACACAAAAATGATAATTGATAGAACTGATATAAACTCTTCTAATTGATATAACTGATATAAACTCTTCTAATTGATATAACTGATATAAACTCTTCTAATTGATATAACTGATATAAACTCTTCTAATTGATATAACTGATATAAACTCTTCTAGAATACATAATTAAAAGAGACCTGGCTATTTTTATGATATCCATTAAAAAAAATAAAAATTTAAGCCAACAAATCTTTAATAAGTAAAAATAATTGAAGCTTTAAACTTTTTTAAAGCTTTAATTATTTCCTTAATATTAATAATTATGCAAATACGTTTTTGTATTGTGATTTCAAGTTCTACCTTTTTAGTATTTGCATATTTATTAACATTAAGGAAACTTTCAAAAGCAATGTCAAATGTCAGTTTTCTTCCTCCTATAGCAAATAATGTTTTCTCCAACTTTGCAATTTGGCAACTTTCTACTTGCCTTTTTCTTTTTAAGACATTTGCATTGCTGACTTAAAAAAATGCTGTTTTCTTTTATGGCCACACACTTTTTTTGGCCACACACAAAACACATTTTTTCTAGTTCCACTGAAGTTTTTGTTAGGAGACCTATTTGAGATTTTAGATTTTAGACAAAATGATAGTTACATGTTTTGTTTTTTTTTGACCTCTTTTCCTCAAACATGAATTGGAGTTTTTGATGTTTTGACTTAAAGCCAACTTTAATTTCTGTCTAATCTGGACTGTGTGGGGCTTTAGATTGTTGGTGAACATGAAATCTTGCGCCTAGAGCTATCCAACAATACCATCTATTAATATATTATTTAATATTAATAAAATATTTCACAACAAAGAAATAAAACAAATAGGAGATTTTAAATAGTGTAAATAAATGATTGAAAACACAGCCTAATAACTTCATAGAACAGCACAAGGGTTTATGCGCCATTTTTCAACAATTTTTATAAACTAAATCCCAACCACCTGGATTAGTTGAACAGTTAGATAATAATCAACAACATCATACATGGGTGGTATCAACAACAAAAAACAATAGCTTAGTTGTAACTCATTTCAAAAACCACAATCTCTTTATTTTTCTCTAAGTATCTGATATCTTAAAAAATCCCTGAATATTCCAGGTTTACATGAAAAACCTGTTAGACAATAAAAAAAATAGTTAAGGAATAGGAAATGAAAAAAATATTTAGGGAATATTCAAGCTCTGTACAAACCATATAATAATCTGAAGTAATTCTTTAAGCATAATAGATTTTCAAATTTCTCTTATTATAAAATGGTGCTTTATAAGCAAAACATTTTTTTTATAGCGTTATATTTAGTGTTTTGCTTATTAAAAAAAATTAGTTCACCTTTTTCTATATCTCCGTCACTGAAATTTGGAAGAGTTGATGGATATTTTATGCGTTTGTGAAATTCCTTAGGAAGCAAATTTGGAAACAATCCAATTACAAACGATGGATCTTCGTCAATGCTGTTAAATAGTTTTATAGCTTCTTCAAACCGCCTTTGACAGAACTGTGAAAAACCAAGCAACTTTTTTATTTGTTTCATTTTATTTTTTTTTTTATCACCAACTTCATCCATGAGCTCAGTAAGCGTGAGCGCCATTTCATATTCTTTTTCTTCAATTAACTGGTCAATTTGTTTATTAACGTCAACTGGACATAGTCTAAAAATAAAGTAAAAGAAAATAACAGTAAAAGTAAACAAAAGATTAAAAAAATAAATTTTTGTCAACCTACTCTATACTTTTTCACACAATTAATGTATTTTTAAAAAATTTTTAACATTCGAAGACAAAAAACTGTATATCTAAATAAAAAAATGATAGCTACAGTAAACTCCCAGTTGCTTGAATTGGCACTTATTAGAATTTCCCACTTATTCAAAGCAATTTTTATTGCCTGTGAATTTTCCTTAACAAACTCATGCAAATATCCATCAGTTATCAGAAGCAGCAGTTATTTGAAATAATTTTTTGCTCCCTTTGTCAAAAACAATGTCAAGTTTTCCTACAGCTCAAGATAGTATTGCATTGCATTTCAAAATATAACTTTATCGAACGTAATCAAAATATATGTATGTATATTGTAAAAAAATAACGTTATCAAAATATAAAAAAATTGAAAACATTAAATGTAGTGCAATAAAAATTTTAACATGGCATCTACTCAAAAGGAGGCAGTACCATGCCTGTACTGTGGAGGTTGTCGGGCGCAATCGACACCTTTTTTATTAACTCTCTTTGTTTCATGCAAATTTTATAGTAAAAATTGAGTAAAAAATCCATATTATCAATCAAAAATAAATATCTTACTTTTAAAAAACAGAAAAAGGTCAAACTAAAAAGAATGTAGCTGAAAAGTTTAGTGTTCCTCAAAACACTTTAACTACTGGATTAGGCATTAAGAAGACATAACCATAATCAATCAATTTGGAGCTATAAATTGTAAAGATTTCATTTTTTTATTTTAAATTTGTTTTTTAGAAGAAAAACATAACAAAAAAACTTCTTTTAGAAGGTAAAGACTTAAACATCTTATTCCAAAGTTTTTCTTCTCTCTTCTTCTGTTAAAATTTAATAGTAACTTGAAATAGGTTTAAAGAAAATTTTCAGTTATTCAAACTTAACTTTACGGTTATTTGAAGTAAATTCTAATTTCCTTAGGAGGTTTGATTGAACATTGGAGCTAAGTATCTATTTGGTAGCTGTTTATTGATTATAGCATGTATATATACATATATATGACTTGTTTTGCGGTCTTGTATATATACATATACATGATCGCAAAACAAGTTTAATTTACTAATTAAGAAAAACAAATCTAGAAGTGCTATTTTGTAAATATGGAGTTATATTGTAGGTATGTCTATTTTGTTTAAATTTTTTTTTGTTTTTTAATACTAAACAAATAAATTTAATATTACATGTTTTATTATCATTTAACATAATTGAACCCGTCATTTCAAAAAGAGCACAAGTCACACTTTTTTCAAATTTCACTTTTTAATGGAATTTTATTTATTCAAGTGTTTTACATATTTCCTTTGAAAGAGAAACATTTTTATATGCCACAAGTCAACTTTAAATGCAAATGAAAATTAAAGTCTGTTTGAAAATGGCACAAGTCCCGGACTTATGCCTTTTTCAGATGAAACAAAGCGCAACTGTAGTGACGTAATTTCACTTTTTTTGTAACAAAAATGGAAAATCGCGAACTTGCTGAAAATGCATAAGATCTAGAAAAAGAGTGTCTGGTATAAGAAACAGTGGAAATTATAAACAAAAAAAAAATAAAAAAAGCCAAAATTGCTGGAGAAACTTATAAAAACCACAAAGGAAATGATGTGGCACTAAGTCAAACGGGTGCTTCTTGCAACTTAGTTTTTTGTTCTTTAGAGTATGACTATATTCGTTCTTAAATTTATGCTTATTTACTCATGTTTTACCACCAATAATTGGAAGTAAAACATCTTGATATATAATTATTACAATATTACCTCAATAATTCTATTTATTTACAGATGTAATTCAAAGTGTATGGAGCTTGTATCTGAAGATTTTATAGAAAGTACAATTCAGTTTGTTAACAAATTTGATTGTAAAAATGCTCAAGACACATACTTGCAGTCATTGATTGAAAAGAGGGAAGATGGTTTAGATCTAAAGAACCTAAGAAAAAAGAATTTTCTTTTATTTATCACATTAAGATTGAAGGTGTGATAAGAAAAGTACGCAAGAAATCTTTTTGCTGTATGCATGGAATTTCTATGAAACAAGTTAGACATTTATGCATTTTATTAAAAAAAAAAAGAGCAGCCTATAGATTACAGAGGTAAATCTCTGTGATCACAATGCAACGCATTACCTGGAGATACATTAACAAAAGTACATGAGCCAAGTATGTACCTTTGTGCTGAATTATATTTTTAAAAATATTGGCAACAAAGCAAAGAGCTGAACCTATTTTCTGATGGTTGTGCAGGCCAAAAAAAAAATCATGCCACGGTCCGAATACTTTTATCACTGGTAGCTGAACTAGATAGCAATATAAATGAGATACAATATTACATACCAAAAAGAGGTCACTCATTCTTGCCAAACGATAGAATGTTTGGAACAGCAAAACGACATTCAAAAAAATGATCGGATTTACACACCAACGATGTAAAAAAATGGTGGCTAAACCATTATAAGAAACTTGTGCTATCTGTGGATTCCTATAAAAAAGGAGTACCCAAGGACAAAAAACTTACTTTTGGTATTTCTAAAATTTCACATTTCACATTCTCTAATACCACAGCAGGTTTAGTGAAAACATGTGAATGCATAGATTGCTTAGTCAGTTATAATTTCCAGCTATTACAAAGGATGGGTACCAGGTCAACCTTACCATTAAGTAGTACTCCTGCATATGTTGGAAAATTACCTATCAATGAAAAAAATATATCAGATTTGAAAAAAATATGAAAAAATATATTCCATATTCAATAGAAGAGTACCAAAACTTCTATACAAAGGTTTTTGCTTTGCCAACAACAAATGAATTTCAAGAAATAATTGATGATTACCTAACAATAAATGTTTTTGTGTAATAATAAATCATTTTTATTCTGATAATCTTTGGTTTTTTATATACAAAAAAATGTTCATTTCGAAAAAGACATAAGTCCATAAATTTAAATTAGAAATATATGTGTTATATATTATTTTTTTATAACAAATAAAACTCTAAAAACTTATGTATAACTTTTATATATCTACTGTTATCTTTAGTTTCTTTAGCACCATAGACTTTTTTTCTAATAAAGTTATTTTTGTTGATCCTGAAAAGTTTGAATAAATGGACTTGTGCCCTTTTCGAAATGACGGGTTCAACTTCTTTTCTTTATTTTCTTTACATTTGTTTAAATGAATGAAAATATATTAATTTTTTTTTTTTTCATTATTTCTTAAAATTGTGGTTTTGTAAATAATAGTAACTTTTTACTTTTAAAAGTTTAAACAAAAAAAAAAAAAAAAAAAAAATATTACAAAAAAAAAAATATAAAAAATAAATAAATAGAAGTTAATTATTTTACCAATAGTAAATTAGCAGCAGATTAGCATAACAATTGTGCTAAAATATAAACCCATTATGTTAATTGTAATATAAACCCATTTTGCTGCATTTAACTTAGACTACATATATTTTGTATTTTAAATCATACGATTTTTGTTTAGCTTTATTGCTGTGTATTTTGCATTTATAATCTCAATAAATTTGCAATATTTATGCATTTTATTGTTATATTGAGAACTCTTTATATATTTAATGTATTATAAAAATGCCAAAGAACTTATCTCTGATAAGTTAAAAATTTGATACTTTGCTTGTTACTTTAATTTTAAATTTAGTCTAGGGTACAGTTAGCTTCGTTATCAATTTTCCAGCACCTTAAAAAATATTACGAGAGGGGGTGCTTTTTAAAAAAAAAACATTTAATATGATTTTTATGATCAAATTATATGCACTGCAGCACCATGCACACTTACAAGTGAAAACCTTTATATTATTAAGGTGTAATATCGAGGTTGAGTAAAAGCACTCATTCACTGCTACTTGTATTATTCAAGTGGCAGTCACTTACATCGTAATTTTTGCACCCATGTTGTTTCCGGATAAGTTAACAACCAGAGCCTTTTGGAGGACCTTCTATTTAGACCTTTTTTTCAATATGAACTTCATTTTTTTTTTACAAAATGTAAGTATATACTAAAAAAAGTTGATATAAATACTTTATATAAAACTTTTTAAAAAAATGTTATTCTTCGGATGAGGGGGGAGGGGTGGAGGGAGACGCCTTTTTTGGGGAAGAGGGATGTGCATTAACATTTAACCTACTCATTGGCGCATCTGCAATTAATGTATACTTGCTATGTTTTACCTTCCTTAAGATTCTGGTAAAGATCTTAAAATGATAAGCATAGTTTCCTGAGTTATTGTTGAAAATTTTATGATTTTATCTACTTGTGCACCATTTTAGTCATTTTTAATGCTAATGTGCTTCACTACAGCACTTTTTTTTGTTGATAATGATTAAAGTTTTTAGTTATCATTTATAAAAAAATATAAACCGTTGCGCTTTCACTTACCTTATGAAAAAAAAGTTAAATGTACACTTTATAAACATTTTTAATGCAGTATTTACAAGGAATTTAAATAACTTTTTGAATCAAAGCTTTTTTTCAATAATAAGGAAATTTTTGTTTTCACTTTTGATACCACCCTTTTTGATATTGCACAGTCTGTTAATTATATAAAGCTGACAACAGCTGATAACAGTTAATTATATAAAGCTGATAACAGTATTCAAGTAATTGACACTTGATAACTAATATAAAATATTATTTTACTAAACCATTATTTTTGCAAAGTAAAACTTATAAACATAAAAGAAGATATTGCAAGAGCTATATTCCTTCAACACGGCTGTTTCACTCAATATAAAAGCGAGCCTGACGTCACGAGTTTATCAAAAAAAAAAGTATTTCCGCATAAAAAGTATAAAAATTCATTAACTTTAAAATAATAGTATTTTTTTTCTATAAATGCTTTCATCTTCAAATAAAAAAAATATAAAAGATCTATCTTTCCTTGTTAAATAAACGTTTACATTAAACGGAAT